TATATATATATGCAGTTAAAGTCAGAATTATTAGCCCCCCTTAATTTTATATATATAACAAACCCCCTTTAACAAAACCGCCTTTAATTTTGTTATATATATATATATATATATACATTATAGTACAATTTATATGTACATAATAAATAAATTATATAAATATAAATATATGAAAATATATAAATATATTATATAAATATATATAATTATTAGCCCCCCTTTAATTTTGATTTCTTTTTAAAATATTTCTCAAATGATGTTTAACAGATTTAGGAAATTTTCACAGTATGTCTGATAATATTTTTTCTTCTGGAGAAAGTCTTATTTTTTTTATTTCGGCTACAATAAAAGCAGTTTTAAAATAAAAAAATAATAATTTTAAGGTCAAAATTATTAGCCCCTATATTTAAGCTATATTTAAAATTATAAGCTATTTTTTTTCCCCGGTCACATGCAGCAACTGAAGCGTCGGGTTGACGAGCGTCAGGCTAAACTCACCCAGGCCAAAGCTGAATACCGAAGCGCCCTGAGGAACCTGGAGACCATCTCAGACGAGATCCACGAGCGGCGCCGGCTGTCCGCCATCGGGCCCCGGGGACGAGGGGTCGGGGCTGAAGATGACGGGGCCACCATTGATGACATCACCAACTTTAAAATGGAGTCTGACGGCATATCCAGTGAGTCAAATCAGTCATGATACAAAAAAAAAAAAAAGTAATTTGACTATTAAGGTTTCCTTCTAAATCACTGTGGTGATTTTCTACATTATACGTTGAATTTTCAGTGTTTAGTCAAGTAATTAAATAACTTATTAAGTGACTTTGTAAACATTGTAATTAAAAATGTTTTAATGATGTAATGAAGGCAGCTTGATGGCTTAGTGGTTAGCACGGTCGCCTCACAGCAAGAAGGTCTTTGGTTCGAGTTCCAGTTGTGCCAGTTGGCGTTTCGTTTTGCATGTTCTCCTCGTGTTGGTGGGGGTTTCCTCCGGGTGCTCCGGTTTCCCCCACAGTCCAAACACATGCGCTATAGGGGAATTGGGTACACTAAATCGACTGTAGTGTATGAATAAGAGTGTGTATGGGTGTTTTGCAGTACTGGGTTGCAGCTGGAAGGGTATCCGCAGAGTAAAACATATGCTGGAATAGTTGGCGGTTCATTCCACTGTGGCGAACCCTGATAAATAAAGGACTAAGCCGAAGGAAATTTAATAAATGATGTAATTAGTAATTAATCAGTTGAAGTAACTTACCCAACACGGACTACAACCCGCTGTGACGTAGATTCCCGAGCTCTATCCTATTTAGCATGCGAATTAGTATGCAGCACATGAATATCTCCGCGTTTGCTCCACAGTGATGTCTGTGAATCTGGAGGATGGCTGTAATGGCACCACCTCAGAGGAGGATCCGGAGACTTCAGAGTCCAGCTGCAGTGTGAGCTCCACATCTGTGCCTCTGGATATGCCCTGCCCGTACCCGTCCTCTGCATCGCCGTACCCACTGTTGTCCTCCTCCTGCCCGTACCCGTCCTCCGGCTGTCCTGACATGCTCCAGATGCCCGGCTCCGGCTCTCTGGAGGGCTTCGAGCGCGTGTCTCCAGTGCTGGGCCCTCGCAGCGAGTGCAGCGGCGCTTCGTCTCCAGACTGCGAACAGGAGAGAGGTCAGAAAAGCTTCAGCTTAAGGAGAATTTATCAAATGTTTGGAGTCAGTCATTGTTGTTTTACATTATATGTTACTCTTTATTCTCTTTATTAAGACACAACCAGAAAATAAAGCGTCTAGCTGGATTTTTTGGGGTGTAATTGTTAAAGACATATGAAAGAAAGAGATGCCAGAGCGGTTGTCAATATCGCCTGAATTGATGGTAATAGGAATGCTGGAAAGCACAGACAGGTTTTAATTTGTCATGTCATTCCTGCTAAAAAGCAGCTGATAATGATCCTAAATCCATTCCTAATGATATTTGGAGAGACAAACAGCTGATGAAACAAATACAGTCATGAAATGGCCCCCAAAGAGTCCAGACCTGAATATTATATACAGGGTAGGCCATTTAGATGGATACACCTTAATAAAATGGGAATGATTGGTGATATTAACTTTCTGTTTGCGACATATTAATATATGTGGGGGGGCACACTTTTCAAAATGGGTCGTGACCATGGTAGCCATTTTGAAGTCGGCCATCTTGGATCCAACTTTTGTTTTTTTCAATAGGAAGAGGGTCATGTGACACATCAAACTTATTGGGAATTTCACAAGAAAAGCAATGGTGTGCTTGGTTTTAACATAACTTTATTCTTTCATGAGTTATTTACAGGTTTCTGACCACTTTGGCCATTGTGTTGGATTGTCAATGCAACCCTCTTCTCCCACTCTTCACACACTGATAGTCACCGCAAGATGCCAACATAGGCTTTTAGTATCCGTAGTTTCAGGTGCTGCACATCTTGTATAGGCAATTTTATAGGCAATATAAGATTCACCTGGATACAAGAAGAAAGACAGAACATGCTAAATCTAAGGAGGAAATCTAAGAAATGAAGATGCTTGATATTATAGAGCACATCATTTCAGAAAAGACTCAACAAAAGTCTGTTTTAAATGTATAAAATTCGAACACTACGATAACAGCATTTGTGTGCTTTCTAACAGGTGAAAGGGCAGAAGGAGCAGAAGTCAAACCCGAACAAACAACCAACAACAGCAGTCAGAAAAGCTCAGACCTGGAGAAGAGTCTGCGCAGTTTATCCCTGCAAGCCCCAGACGACAACCACAACGAGAACGAAACAGACGCTCGTTCATTCACTGTGAGCTGCAACACGCCAGCAGTGCTGCTAAACAGTGTTTAATACACACTCCACACGCTAGACTGAGTTGTGTTGTGAAGTGTGTGAAACTATTTGATCATCTCAGTATTACGGAGAAAAGCTCATCATCATCTCAGACTGGATTCAAAACCCATGACAGTATTGAAGACCAACCCAAGCTCATTATGGATACGTACCCCTATATACATTTCTGGAGAGCGCCAAATACGTCCCAGGAGATATGTCCCAGTTTTTTTTTGTGCTGTTTTTGCGAATCCACCAGAGGCCGCTGTGTACATTGCCATGCCATTCATGCCTGCTCTTCTCGCGTAAATCCACCAGAGGCCGTTTTCAATTGACTGACTGATTGACCAACGATCACCACAACCTTCCCCTTTTATTAACCCAACCGATAGTGTTTTCAAAAACACAGATTGACCCAATTACAAACCAAACCAACAGTGTTTTCAAAAGCAATCCAGAGAAAGAAAACCCCTTGCGTCTGCCTGATTTTTACCATGTTTTCGGATTTTACCACGTTTTCACCCTGTTATTTACTTGTTTAATTTATTTTTTTGTCTCTTATTTTACCTGCTTTCTAGAACCGTTCTTTGCCGGACTTGAACCCTGTCATCGTGGTTGACTCCGCTCTGTGTCTCAAGTCCACCAATGTACATGGTAAGCCCCTGAGCAAACTGGTCACAGCGGAAGAGTCATCCACACGGAGTAAAGCGCTCAGCTGGTAGCGCGAAAACAAACAGAAGCCATCGCTGGCATCATACCGCCCTGTAGCCTTCGTATTAAAGACGAAATGCAGCCATACGTACCTCTGGCTACTTAATTCGCACTCTCCAGAAACGTATACAGGTGTACATATTCACAATGAGCATGTGTTGCAACCTACCGACAGTTATTAGACATCAGCTATGAAGTGGCGACCATACTGAACTTTTTAGTCGTCACTGAGTGGATGTTCTTCATGTCTTCCTCAAATATGTGTGTCCTGAAAACAGTGCCATACACTAATATTGGTATCTTTGCTAAATGTGAGGTAAGAAAGCTGTGAAAAATGTCTTTAGTGTTTAACCTTTTTGATATTTTGCTCAAATAATGAACATTTCATTGGAAACAGACCAAATCGCTTGATTCTGATTGGCTGATGAGCATTCTAAAGTGTGCCCCCTATGCTCAGATAAAGTAGTTCCGGCAGGTAAGCACAATACAGCTCCATATCACTACGCTGAATGATTTCGCGGTCAAAATCTCATCAAAACACAACTCAAGGCTTTGGAGGAGATGTGGAAGAACTAGTGCTGCACACAGGAGCAGTTTGAGGACACAAACCTGACTAATGTCTCAAATACAACATCTGAACAGTGGCTTTAGGTGTTTAACCATATTATAAGTGGAATAATTGACTGCGGTCCATTGACCAAGATATTTTTTAAGTATATTTCCATTGATATTTTGCATTTTTACTACACCAGAGTGACGAGAAACCGAAAGCTGTCTATGCTGTCCAAATGCTCTACTCAGGGGACTGTTTGAGTGGCACAGCTGGAGATCTGCAGATGTTAGTTTGGTCTTCAAAACTACAATCCAATGCAACTAATATCACCACACCTAGTTTAAAAGGGTTTCAGTCATAATAAAGAAACACTTTCATGCACTAATAAATTCAAGCACTCAAGTTTTAAAAGATTTTTGGTTCATTTTTTGAGCAAAACACCAAAAATATAGTCGAATTGATTTATACCCTTGCAAATTCTGGCTTTTATTCAACCAGCAAGTTGTTGTTTTTTTGGACTGTACATGACATGAGCTTCCCGCAAAATATAATAAGACAATAATAAAATATTTCTCAGCTTTTATTTACATTTGAACAAAAACTTTAAGTCAGAATTTGCCCGGGATACTAATAATTTCAGGCTTGACTGTATAGTTTTTCACAGCATCCATTGTTCATATGTACCCATGATGCATATACAGCGAGGAAAACAAGTGTTGAACATTTCATGGTTTTCCCTGGGGATAATATTTCTAAAGGAGCTGTTGACATGGAATTGATTTCAGCTGCTGTCTGGGCGTTCCCTGCCTTTCTACACCTCCCTTTCTTCATCTGTTCAACACTTTTTCCCTGCGTAATTTCATTTTATTATGCATAACTTCATTTGTGAATTGATTAGATTTGTTTTCTTTGCATATATAGATTTCTGTGGTTGTTATCCTCATCTGGTAGAAATTTCAAGTCAACACCACCTTGAGAAATATGTTTTCAGGGAAAAATGGTGACGTGTTGAATACTTATTTTCCAGCTGTATTAGTGGTTGTATACAAAGTCTGTATTTTCAGTCTTCTGCATTGGCGTCTCACTAGCTGACTCCAAACCAACTCAAACTTGCACATATTGACTGTTTCAGCATAAACTATTAAATGTGTCGTCAATTTTCCTGATGTGAATGAAGCTTTCGGCTGAAAATCAGCTAGTGGACGCCAGCACTTATTTTTTTACTCAGTCGGCGTCCTGCGATGAAGTTTGTCACGTCTTAGACTATGTGTTTTTCACTCCACAGGTTATTACGTATTCATATTGAGGTAAAGTTGATTTTTTATTCACACATTCAGACTTTCTCCTTAATAATATCATTTCAGAAAAGTATTATTTGCAAATCATATTAGCAGCCAATGACTATCAAAGTACAGCATCGAACACAAGTCAATCAAATAGTGTCCTGCTGGTCCTACATCACCCAACCCCGCTCTAAGTTGGGATCGAACCGGCTACCTTCCGCATTGGAGTCGGTTGCTCTAACAAGAAGGCTAAAGACTATGGCCTATTGCATTTGTTGCTAGAGCATCCTTTAGAGGTCAGAGGAGTGAGGTTTACCTGCACAGCACTTCACTAGCTGGCCTCCGTTACACTAATGTTGTTTTGAAGTTATATTTAAATGAGATTTCAGACCCAATATTAAAATTAGCATGGGAAACAATATAGGGAGTGTTAAAGGAAAGAATGTGCGGATATAAAACCAACTTAACCTCAATTTGTCATGTAAAGAGGGACTCAAAGTGTAGTTCAAAGCTATATATTTATACTCAATGTTGGTCGTGTTTTCATGTCATGAATATGTTTTCATCGCACAAAAGTTCTTATTTGTGTAATAAACAGATGCTCACAGCATGAGTCTCTTTCCACTGTTGTGATTTCACAGTAAGAGTCCTTTCGTCCAAAACAGCGATGCGATCTAATAAAAAAAAGCAGTGGATTAGCTAAAAAATGTGTTTTTTGACATCATAAACTGAGTAAAAGATTAAGTTTATGCCATTACTTTCCTTTTTTGTTGTTGTAGCTACATCTTTAAAGTGTTGACGGCTATTAGGAGCCCTTAAATGAACGTTAGGGTCAATCTGTAGGTTTATTGTAAATAACTTAAGAATGCTTAAAGATTTCTCTTACTTGAAATGATTAGTTTATTAGATGAATAATTCTTGTAGTAATATTGGTTATTTTATGTTTGTAGTAATAAATAATTATTGGTAACCCAATATTTGGCTTAAGAATGGTCAAAAGCTGGGAAATAAATACAGAAAAAATACAAATCAATGATTTACAGAGTAGGAGATTAAATGCAAGTAAGAAAATGGTGGGATTATTCACTTATTTGGAAGTGAAATTTGGTGTAGACCGGAGTCTCAGTTTATAATTTATGTTCTGTCTTCGAAATATAAATGATGAGTATTTTAGCATGATTTCAACACAATATTTTCAGAATTTACATTATTTTTGAGCAGATTTAAGTTGGTCTGGGATAATTAATTTTAATTATTAATTAGTTATTAATATTGGTTTACCTTTAAATGAAAAAACTATAACTTTTTCATAATTTTATTTAATAGCACTCTCTGTCTTTTAGGATTAGATGTTGAAGTCAAAAACTCTCGGTCACACATGTTTACAGGTCGTTGATGGATCCTGAAGATGCAGAAAGACGTCAGCAGCTCGTCTCTTCACATCTGCATCATCACAGCACCCAAACAACTCACTTCACATCAACGTCTGCGGTCATATTTCTGTCTGACAGAACCTGGCCATGTGAATTCACTTTAAAACACACACACACACGCACGCACGCACGCACGCACGCACACACACACACACACACACACACACACACACAAACACACACTACAAGACCTCAGTGCTGTGCAATGATTCAAAACATCATGTTTGACCTCACAGCTTGAATCTAATTGTTTTGTTTATCACACAGTGCCCAAAATGATAAATGTGCACATTATGTTGTGAAAAACCTAAAATGTTGTTGTTTTTGTAGTGTTCCTGTTATCTAATAGTAAACTAGTGAGTTCAATTCAGCATGAAAATTGGTATAAATGAAATTTAAGCCTTCTTAGCTAATAAATAAAGAATTTAGCTTAAAAGAAAATTAACAATGTATACAAAAGAAAATAAAAAAGCTTAAAATGCAGCTGTATCCCTTCAGGTGACTCGGTCACACACATGTAAAATGCCACCTGGAAGTCAGTAACAATGTCCTTTTGTTTGTTTAAATGATCTTCATTCAAGTTAAGCAAATCAGTGTAAATATTATTAGAGAACTAGTGTAAACTATCTGAAAAAAAAAATATATAGGCTAACGTTACAGTAATGCGCATGCGCTTTAGCACTGATTAACCGAATGTTTACTGTAGGCTCCTCGTGTTGATGTGAACTCTATCATAAACAGTATTTTGTAATGATCTCAGTGACTAACATGTGAACCTTCGGACTCACTCGTGAAGCAGAGTGGAGGTCATCATGGCTCTCCGACGGACGCAGGTGGTAGGATTGGCCGTGTTTGTGCTGTGTTTTAGCGGACTGCAGCTCCTCCTCCAGGCCGCGGACCCTCCGTCTTATGTGGCGGCGGTGTACGAGCACCGAGTGCTGCTGAACCCGAAGCCCGGAGCCCCGCAGGAGCGCAGATCCGCCCTGCTGCACATGAGGACTAATCTCCGGGTGCTGGAGGAGCAGAGTGCGCTGGCGGCACAGCAGGTAACTTATGTAACAGGAATATTACTGAAATGGTAGTTCACCTAAATAAAAGACCTGTCAGGGTTTCCCAACACATGAATACTGCTTGTTTCTATCTAATTAAATATGCAAATAATGCTCAAGCAGCCCCCTAAAATGACACTTCAGGGTTAGGGTTAGGATTTGTCAACACGTTATAACTGCTTATAAATAAATATAGTCATTAAACATGTTTCTATATTAAATTAAATATAAATAAAGAGCAATCAACCCCCAAAAAATGACATTTCAGGGTTAGGGGGGTTAGGGTTTCTTAACACATTATAACTGCTTATAAATGAATATGGTCATATTAATTTAAGTATAAAAAAAAGCGCAATCAACCGCCAAAAATGAAGTTTCAGAGTTATAGTTAGGGTTTCTCAACACATTGTAACCACCTATAAATGTATATAGTCATTAAACATTTTTCTATTCAATTCAATATGTAAATAAGGCTCAAGCAGCACCCAAAAATGACATTTCAGGGTTAGCGTTTCTCAACACAATATATCTGCCTGTAAATAAATACAGTCATTAAACATGTTTCTATATTCAATTATATACAAATAAGACAGCACAGCAGGTAACTTACAGCACAGGAACATTACTAAAGTGATAGTTTTTCCTGTTGCAGTTTCTATCACAGACAAGTAGATAGGCCCACCTACTGAAGAATGTTGAAATGTTGGTTTCTATATTATTATTTTTCCAATGGAAATCACTGGCTGCTTTACTAGTGAAATTCTGTGGTTTACAGAACAGAACATGTCAAACATTTTTATTTCAGTCATATATGGTATTAAACAAGTCACTGTTTTGTAATTGTCCATTAATTACTATTATTTCACTAAATATATTGGTATTTTTAAATGAATGCAGCATGATACAAACAAACCTTTAAGACTATTTTCTAGTTTTAAAAGAAAGGGTGACCTGTTTTGGTTGTACCAAAAACATATTACATTTAGATGTCAAATTCAAATTCCAGTCACAGCTTTTATTGTAGGTTAATAATGATCCACAACTTGATTTGCTTTTTTTCTTTTTTAAACTATTATTACTTAATTTATCACTTTAATATTTACACTTTATGTCATTACATCTTAATTATTTAGCTTAATTAGTGCTTGTGAATAATAACATTTCTAGTCTATATAACAAGTTCTATTCTATTCTATATCTATATATATGTGTGTGTATTATTAAATCAGGGCGCCCAGATTATAGTGTTTCCAGAAGATGCCATTCATGGGTTCAACTTCAGCAGATCTTCAATCTCTGGTTATCTAGAGAGCGTCCCTGACCCGAAGGAGATCACATGGAGCCCGTGTGCAGATCCACACCGCTTCCCAGACACTGAGGTAACACACTCAGATTTACTGCTCATTCTTAAATCTCAAGTGACATTAAAAACACCTTTAGAAGCACTTTTCAATCCCTGTGATCTTTAACATTATCTATACTACAGGCTTGTCGAATGCTTGATTCTGATTGGTTGATAAGCATTCTATGGTGTGCTGTTATCTTCAGATAAAGGCACAGCTAGAGTAGTTCCAGCAGGTTTTGAGACCATTACAGCTCCATATCACTACGCTGATTGATTTCAGTTATTTCACAGTCAAAAATCACATTAAAACAACAGAAGTCGTAGGAGAAGATGTGGAAGAAACTAGTGCTACACAGGAGCAGTTTGAGGACAAAAACCTGATGAAAGATGTATTATGGACCATCTCCACTGAGTGTATGGTACAGTACGGTACGCTTTTATGGCCATTTCCACTGTCAAAGGGTACCTAAAAGTGAACCATACCATACCACTTTTTGGTAACCCTTTGCAAAGAGTACCAAGCAGGACTAAAGGGTACCAAAAGGCAGAGCTAGACACGCAGCTGAAGGCTTTTGGTTTACATAGAAATGTCACTCGTTTATGTAGCTAGCCAAAATGAAAACAAAAGAACCGCCATGTTGTAAATAAACAGCCGAGACATTACATCGTAATACTATATGCATATAATAACAAGCTATAGTGGACCCGAGCTCAAACAAACCTTGTCGTTGTCTTGATCTACAGCCACAAAATCTGCTGTGTCCTGTTGTTGTTTTAATGTTTGCGTGATTATTGAAATGCTTCTAACATCCGATCCTTTCAGAAACGAATAAACGCGAGAGTGAAGCCTTGTTGATGCCAGAGGTCAGAGGAGAATGGCCAGACTGGTTCTAGCTGATAGAAAGGCAACAGTAACTCAAATAAGCACTCGTTACAGCCGAGATCTGCAGAAGAGCATCTCTGAATGCACAAAAGCATCTCAGACTGGTTTCTTCAACATGAGTTTACTGTATTCAAATGGCCTCCACAGTCACCAGATCTCAATCCAATAGAGCACCTTTGAGATGTGGTGGAACGGGAGATTCGCATCGTAGATGTGCAGCCGACAAATCTGCAGCAACTGCGTGATGCTATCATGTCAATATGGAGCAAAATCTCTGAGGAATATTTCCAGTAGCTTGTTTAATCTCTGCCACGAAGGATTAAGGCGGTTCTGAAGGCTAAAGGGGGTCCAACCTGGTACTAGTAAGGTGTACCTAATAAAGTGGCCAGTGATTGTATAATAATGGTATTTAATTTATTTAAAGCCTATAATTTCTTCTTCAGGTCCTTCAACATCTGAGCTGTATGGCCCATAGGAACAGTCTCTTCGTAGTGGCCAACATGCCGTCCCGTCTGACCTGTAACCAAACCAGCGACCCTCACTGTCCCACAGACGGACAATACCAGTTCAACACTAACGTGGTGTTCAGCGATCAGGGCGTCATCGTGGCCCGGTATCACAAACAGAACTTATACTTCGAAGCAGCGTTCGACACTCCACCAGAGCGCCAGCACGTCACATTCCACACCCCGTTCGCAGGCCGATTCGGGATGTTCACATGCTTCGATATTCTGTTTCGGGACCCAGCGGTGACTCTAGTGAAGGAGTTGGGTGTTCGGCAGATTGTATATCCGACGGCGTGGATGAACCAGCTCCCCCTGCTGGCAGCGGTGCAGATTCAGCAATCATTCGCACATGCAGCGGGCGTTACATTACTAGCAGCTAACATCAAAGCTGCGGAGTACGGTATAACCGGTAGCGGCATCTTTACACCATGGGACTCTCTAATACATCACGACACACAAGGGAATTCTGGGAAACTGCTTGTGCGCAGAGTGCCAGTTTTAGATCCGTTATTTATTGGGGACGTAAAAAGCGATGTGCTTAAGCTAGCTCCATTTTCTGGATATCCAAAAATAGGATTAGAATCAGAAAAGACGCACGTTTGGTCTTTGAGTGATGCGAATTACTGCGAAAAAGACTTTGATTGTACATCTACGAGCTTTAACTCTATCATGATGCATGATAATTTCACTTTAGTGCCTTTGAGAGGTCATGAAGGGAATGTTAGCGTGTGCAGCGGCTCCGTTTGCTGCCAACTGCTGTTCCGGAGGTCTGAAACCCTGGAGTTTTACGCTCTGGGCGTCTTCAATGGTCTCCATGTGGTGAACGGGGTTTATTATCTGGAGGTTTGTGCTGTGGTGAAGTGTGCAGGTGGAGAACAGAGCAGCTGTGGAGGAGAAACTGAGCACGCTCATACAGTGGTGGATTTCAGGCTCACGGGGACTTTCGGGACTAAACATGTGTTTCCGGGGATTTTGGGAAACGGGATGACTCTGGATGTTCCGGATCATTCTGGATGGGAGGATGGAAATCGCTTTTATATGAGCCGGAGAGGGATGAGCGCTGGACTCGTGACGGCTGTGCTGTATGGGAGACACTACGAGAAAGACAACGACTGATTTTATAACACAAGTGAGAGAATTTGAGTTTAGACAGAGGAGAAATGTATTTGTTGACCCAAATATGAAGATTCGTCATTTTTATTAAACCTCAGTTTTGTTTAAAGCCTGTTTTGTTTTCTTCTGTGAATCAGTTTAAATAGTATCTCCTACACTGAAAAAGTGCTGCATGCAGAACTGTTGCGTTGAATTTAAACAAACAATTTAAGTTTAATAATGTTCAACTTAATTTGTTTGTTTAAATCCAGCCCAAATAAATTGTTTACAACCACTTAACGAAAAAAAAAATTGAGTAAATCTAAGGAATCATCTTTGAGTATTTTTTTTTTAGTGTATATAAAAAAAACTGGGAAAATATTCAGTATGACTCAAGCTATAAAATAAATCTTGTCAGAAAATTCCTGCATTTTATTATTATAATTTATAGACTACTTTAAATATTAAAATAGATGTTAAATGTCATATTCTAAATATTACACACACAACAAATAAGAAACAATCAGTTAATAGATTTAAAAGATTGTTGTATTGATTAAATAGAACCAGTCTGGGCAACTATTTAGCTATTACATACTCTAAATATATTAAGATAATAATAAAATCTTAATTAATTATCAATAAATCTTATTAATAAAATATTTGTATTAATAAATGTTAAAGCTCTAAAAATATTACTGTTTCCAAGAATTCATGTTGTTGCCACAATCAAGAGTTTAGGAAGCACCTGTTTCAGCACTGTTAACTTTCAATAGAGTCAATAGAGAAGAGAAACACTCAACACTTCAGCTTTGATAAACAGACACTTTTATTTCACTTTGACAGATACAGTACATTTGACAGTACGATGAAGTGTCCATCGGTGACCCTCACCATACCCAATTTCTGTAGGTGACCCTCACCAATCCTATTTTCGGCGGTGACCCTCACCATACCCATTGTCGTCGGCGACCCTCACCAAACCCTTTATCACTGGTGACCCTCACCATACCCATTTTTCGCTGGGGACCCTCACCAATCCCATTATTCATTGGTGACCCTCACCATAACCATTATCACCGGTAACCCTCACCAAACTCATGAATCATTGGTGACTCTCACCATAACCATTATTCATAGGTGACCCTCACCAAACTCATTAATCATTGGTGACTCTCACCATAACCATTATTCATAGGTGACCCTCACCATACCCATTTTCGCTGGTGACCCTCACCAAACCCATTTTTCGCTGGAGACCCTCACCAAACCCATAATTTTTTCTTGCCCCTTCCCATGCCCAGCGTCTTCTTTTGTTCTCCACCTGGGCCTCCACTCTTGAGTCTTCAGACTGTCTCACTCACTGCTATGTGGCATAGTATGAGAAATAAAATTAATTAACCAACTTGCTTGTTATTTTATTAAATAGTAAATCAACCAGATCAGCTTAATATCCAAACAAGTGTTTTATAAAGATGAATGCTTTATGTGTTTTGCTTGTAAACTGTACCTGTTGATGCAGTAGCAAAACCTTCTCCAAAACCCTCGCAATCTTTTCTTCATCTGCCCAAGACGTCCAGAAGCTGGCGGTTTTGATCTAGAAAAGGCAAGACATGAACATATATGAAAATTATAGTAAACTCATGATGAATTTGAGCATTTTATGTGAGACTTTGTGTCTATGCAAGCATCCGAGCAACCACTGTTAGCTAATAATATAGACGTGAGTGTGTTCAACATGTTTACTTGAGTTCTGTGAGCAGCAGATGTTGGACACCCTCTTCATCGTTGCTGGCCGATGGCTGAGGGTACATCTCAGGCACCAGATGTGTGATGTTGTCCAGCAGATGCAGCATCAATGTGTTATACTGCTGCTGTTCATCAACCACAGTAGGAGCACTGCACATACAAGTAAAAACACAACACCTTACTAACTACACCAGTCACTTTACATACAAGTACAGCTCCATCAGACTGCTCTCTGTGTTCACACAAGCTCATTAATTCACACAAACTCACTACATCAAGCACTCACCGAAAGATGGCAGGTCCAAACACCATAGCCAGATTCTCGGTGGACAGAATGTTTTGCTGACTCTTGGTGGCCACACGGGAGAGGAAGAACAGGAGGTAGGAGAGGACGTTAAGATGTTCCTCTGGTAGAGTGTTCAGGATCCTCCTCATTGATGTATTGCGTTCTTCCTCTTTTGCATCTACGAATATAACAAATTGGTTTTGTTGCGTATCAAGAACACACGATGTTCGCTCATCACCATCAAGCTTCACTTACCCTGAAACACCTGCAACAGTTGCTTCCCATGCAGCTCTGGAATGAGGCCTCCAGGCAGGGCCTTCAAGAAAAACTTCAACAACGAGGCTAAAGGATGAACATCCTTGAAGTCAAACTCCGGGAAGCCTCCATTGTGAATACTTTTCTTCAGCTCCTGGTACTGTTTCACCTTCCCATCAACGCCGAAGAGGCCGTTAATGAGGAGGCCTAAACAAATACACGTTTAACAAACACAAACTTGCCATGTGAGTGATATGGAGAAGTGTGGTGAATTACACACACCATGCTTGTCCAGGAACTGCACCATCTCTGTCAGTACTAGAGGAAGGCCTTGCCTCATTTGTCCACATCGCCTCAAGTGACTCAGTGGCACACCAAATTTAACACTTGGTGTTTCCACCTGCACAAGCCAGAAAATTAGAAGAATAGCAAGAAAAAACGAGTTTACATGTTTAATAGTGTGTATTCTAGTCAGGAAATATGACATTGTAGCCAATTGTGTATACATTTGCGTGTTAAGTCAAGTAAATTGGGACACATTTTGCCATTGACATGCCTAAGGAAAAGTGTCCCAATTCACCTGAATTCACTTTGCAATACACATGTCAATGCAAACAAGAGATATGAGGAATAAAAACATTACAATCTCTTTATTAAGTGTAACTGTGTTATGTTGTATAAGTTACTTACACACAATGACAAGACTGCCATGTTGAGGAGAGGATTGGGGAACCAATCGCAGTCCAAAGCCGAGGGTCAAACCGGTGAAGGGTCAAAACCGGGAGTTCAAAATCGCAGTCCAAAATCGTGAGTCAAAACCAGAAACGAGTCGAAAACCGAGAGCCAAAACACGAGGGGAATCCAAAATCGTAAGTCAAGTCCGAGAAAGAAGTCAAAAACCGAGAATCAAGCCGAAGTAATCAAAGTAAAATCGCAAATCTCACAAAACACCGCCAACTACACCGAACGCCAAACACCAACAGAGGATTCTATTTAGAACACCGGGATACACGCGCGCT